GAGTAGAGGAGACAAGAGATCCCATAGGAATAGCAGTCCCATTCGATTTCACTTAGAAACCCTCCAACAGCTCCTTCTCCACAGCCTTGTCTACCATTTTACTTAGACCATCCATGACTACTAAAAAGAGTAGAGGAGACAAGGGATCCCCTTGCCTTAACCCTCTTCAACTGCTGAAATTTCCTCTAGCTGCACCATTAACAAGCACAGAGAATCTTGGAGTGGAAATGCATACTTTCATCCAGCTCCTCCACCTTGAGCCAAAATGTATTCTATCCAACAAATAGTCTAGAAAAGACCAATTGACATGGTCGTAAGCCTTCTCTAAGTCTATTTTATAGATTAACCCACTCTAGTCTTCCCACATCATGAATATGCTTGTTGTGAACAAATGCTCCTTAATACTTGGAGATCAGGGAGTCCATTACCTTTCTTAGCCTAGTGGCCAGAATTTTGGCTAAGATCTTATATACGCTTCCAACCAAGCTGATTGGTCTGAAGCAATGTTTTAAAACGCGGAGGCGTGACATGAGGCGCAGTTCAGATTTCAGAAGGTAAGAGGTGTAAGCCTCCCAAACAGTTGTACCTCCTTAATAGGAGGGGGGAATGAGGAGGATGAAAGAAGAAGAGGAAAGAGGATCTCATTTTTTTATTTTTAATAAAAATCTTTTCTTCCTTTCCCTTTCCTTCTCTTTTCTTTCTTTGTCTCTTTTTTTCCCTTTCCTTCTCTTTTCTTTCTTTGTCTCTTTTTTTCCCCTTCCCTTTCTTTTCTTTTCCTTTCCTTTCCTTTCCTTTCCTTTTCTTTTTTTCTTTTTTACCTTCTTTTTTCTTTTTTTTCCCCGTCTTTTTACAGGAGGTGTGCATGAGGTGCACGAGGCATACGCCTCTAGCACACCTCATAAAAAAGTGTATGAGGCGTACACCTCAGAGGTGTCAACGCCTCTGGCATACGCCTTAGGGCATTTTGGGGGCACCTCGCCTGGAGGCACACAATTTCCAGCCCTATTATGGAATTGATCCTTCTTGCATTGGCAACCTTGTGGAAGAAAGCAGTACTGTTATCACCTGCTTTCAGCCACATAGCTCTTGATCTTTGCCTCTATTTGACTTCATCTTGGAACATCAGTGTATCAAACAGCTTCTTAGCTGTGAACCTTTGCCTTCTTTTCTCCTCTTCCAAAGACCCACCTTCCTCCACAATGTCAGCTATGATTTTCGAGCACTCTTCCTTTTTCCCCTCAACATTCTTCAATTTTTCCTCTTGCCAAGACTTAATTTTTCCTTTCAAACATTTGAGTTTTTTAAATAAAATACGGCTGGATGAACCTTCAAAAGAAAATTCAGACCACCACCTTTTTACATTTGCCACCAAACCCTCTGAGTCTAGCCAGCAATGCTCCAATCTGAATAGATGGGGGTTCTTTTTCAAACATCCAGTATTTAGCATTAGAGGTATATGATCAGACACTGCCCTTGGCAATGCTTCCTGACTAGTACTGGGAAAATTTTCTTCTCATTCAGAGGAAATTAGGAATCTGTCCAGCCTGATTAGGGATGGCACTTCCTGATTGTTGGTCCAAGAATATTTTGCTCCTGAAAGCGACAAGCTTATCAGATCTTACCTCAGAATGAAACCCATAAAAGTTTTCACACTTCTATTAATTCTTTTTTTTTTATCAATAACACTTTCATTAATTCATCAGTAGAAAATTTACAAGTGGAAGACAAACACGCTTATCTTCCAAGAGTCACAAAGAACTTCAAGAAATGAAAAAAGAAAATACAAAGATACAGAGACACTAACGTTACAGCTTAGCCCAAAACAAAGAATCCCTTTTTGCCCCTTGTTTTGCTAAACCGTCAGCTAGGGAATTAGCTGATCTCTTAATCCAACATGTCTTAACTTCCATCTCCCGCACCAGCCATTTGAATTTCCTCTTCTCATTGTTATACTTCCAAAGATCATTTTGTTCTTTGGTCAGCCACCCTATCACCACCTCTGAATCCCCTTCAATTATAAGTTTCTTGATGTTCAATTCCTTAGCTTTCCAGGCTCCTTCCATAACTGCACATATCTCAGCTCTAAGGGAGTCACCCACTCCAATTGGGCCTGAGAACATAGCAGAGATGACCCCATTTTCATCTCTAAAAACACCCCCGATCCCTGATTGTCCCGGTTTTCCCCTACTGCATCCACCAAAGTTTAATTTCAAGAATCCACTTGGTGGGGGGTCCAAGCCACACTCATTACTGACTTGGTCTGCGTGCAATTTGCAATTTCACCCCACTTCCTCAACATGTCATCCACAGTGTAATCTGTGAATATTTCCAAAGATTTCAGCCACTACCGCCCTAAAATGTATGATAGCCCTCATATCTGCTGTTCCTCTCCGAGTTTCTGAGAATATCCTGGAGTTTCTTTCTTCCCACAGTGTCCAACATACTGCAGCCCTTAGTCCTCTCTGTAACAGTCTTTCTTGTCTGATGGACTAACTATGGCATTGATATTGCCACCTAACACCCAAAGTCCTCCCCACCTTTCTCTGACATAGCCTAGCTCTTCCCAGAAATCATCCTTTTTTTTTATCAGTAACAAAAAACTTTATTAATGATGTGAAGCTATCTGAAACTTCAAAGGGAGGTAAAATGTCTTAACTCCCCACCAACAGAATACATTGGAAGAAAGTTAAAAATTAGCCCAAATTATAGATTCCCAGAAATCACCCTTTAAGTTATTTGCCTCCCAAAGAAACTTAGGAGAAATAGAAAAAGCCCCCACATGTTTATCTAGCAGCCTGAAGGAGCTGCTATTCCAAATAAGAGCTACTCCACCCATGGTATTCAAAGCTGGAATTTCAAGCCAGTCACAAGGATCAAAACCCCCACACACTTCTCACTGCTCTGAAGGATAATTTTTGCAATTTTGTCTCCTGTAGTAATAGAAAATCCGCCTTTTTTTTCCTTTAGAAAACCCCCAATTACCATTCTTCTTCTTCCTGAGCCTAGGCCCTGGACGTTCCAAGATAATTTCAGGCTTTCCATTAAAAAATTCTTGAAGAGTTAATACTTCTTCTCGCACATCCCATGCTATCGTTTAAACCCCACGCAAGCCTCAATAATCCCTTTGAGTGCCTTCTATTTTTCTTTCCCTTTTCAACTAAAAAACTGCTTTCAATGGCCACAAAGAGGGCTTTTGTTTCCTCTTCCAATCCCTTAAAAGAAATACCCAAAAACGAGAAATTTAGACATAACCCAATTGGACATTTCATTGTCTTCTACGTACCTTAAATTCACCTGGTGTGGTCGCATCTGCTGGGCCTCGTTGGCTGGAAGGATTACCGCTAACAATTCTGGTGCCGGCTGCGTCTGGGTTCTGCTAAGGAGGGGAAGCCTTCCAAACCATTATTGACTTCTTATACTACTACAGACAGCATCAAATCCTCCTGACTCTCTGAGAGGGGGGAAGAGAGAGCTGTTGAAGCTTCTGTGTGGCTTCTCCTCTCCGAGATATACCCTGCTCCGGAGCTTCTTCCCTGGATGAGGAGAATGCCATTTCTTCTGCCTTCGAATCCCCTCCTACTAGACTTAAGCTTGGACTTGGAGGAACACACCTTCCATCTGCGAGAAGGGTCTCTTTCCCTGAGTGAGACTCCATTTCCTTTTCGCTTTCTCGCTGCCCATCTTCACTCTAGAAGTCGAGGAAACTTGACCCTTCCCCTCCTTCCAAGCCCTCAAAATATGACGAGGATGATGAAGAATTGAAGATGCTTCCTGATGGGCTTTACCTTTCCCTTTACCCTCCACATAACAATACTTTGGCCCAACACCCAAATTCTTATCCAGGCTTTTAAACCGTAATGGACCAGGTTCCTTTTGTGCTTTTTATTGGGCCTTGCTACAAGTCTTAAGGCCTTCGGGTGTCTTGGCCTGCCTTGGGATGTTGCTTTTTAGTCCTCATAACCCTAACCATGGGGATGATGTTTTAATTACATATTCTAATAAATAAATAAATCACCTTTGAGTATTGCTAAGCAATCAATTTAAGCATCCCGTGTTTTACACTTAACCAATTGTATTTCACATATTTTGTATTAAATTAAATTTCTCCACATTTTTATTATACCAGACTTGTGTCTAGCATTTGATACCCTTTGAAACCTTTGTCGACCGGAATTATGTCATATGGAGAATATAAGTGTTGTGGGACTTCTTGTCAATGAATCACCAATTCATCTATAACTATAAGCCATTCAGAGCATATGATCTCGCCAAATATTAAAGTCAACTGATCCATCTATCGGTTTAACAGCGAGCTCACATCCAAAGCCACTATACTAAATTTTCATTTCTGGCTTAAGATACTAAAAATGTAACAGAAACAGGAAACTCTATTCTTCATATAACTATCACAAAACGAGAACAAAGTTATCCTTGTTTGAAGCATGGGAGTTGATTGTTGAAGAACTGCACCATATGGACACAAAACAACTGAGAAAGTAGAAGTTCTACTACTCTATAATGGCCTGACAATCAACTTACCAAATATAAATGGAACTAGTACGCATTTTTTTCATCAATAGCAGGAATTTTCTAAGGGAAAGAATATACAAAGTTACATACCCCTAGTAATAAATTTAATCTCAAGCCTTAATGCACAAGGTTCCAAGTCAAACCTTGTAAAATTTACATTAGGTACACAAGACATAAAGAGTTGTGTAGCCTTAGATAAAACCTGATTTAACCAGCCAATCTATGAATCTTGATCCAACAGATATTGTCAGTCACATGAATATTGTTCCAGCATATTAAGTAAAATAAAATCCTAAATATCAACGTAGAAAAATGAAAATGAAGGCTATGCCAGAAATCCAAGCCTACTGTTTGAATAAAAGCATCATTCAACATGCATGTAGTTAAAATATGGTTACTTGCAAAAATAAGTTTGTAATTAAAACAATAGCATCTAGAAAAAGGGTTGTTTTTGGAGCTTGGTCACTTACAATGAGATGGCATAACAGGTGGGAAAGCACCCAAAGAACCTGCACCATAATCTACTAGCTGCCTCTGTGCTTCCAGTTCTCTCTGGACCAATTTTCCATAACCACCTCTACGTGTAGTTTGTCAAGGAAAAGAGCAATAATTTTTTCATGAACTTAATTTTTTGCTTGACTATCAAATTAAAATTCCTCAGATATATCTTTATGTTGAAACAATACCAAGGAAGGCAAAAAAACATTATCAAAAAAAAGGTAAAAAGTAACGAAGAATAAAAAAATAACAGATGTAAACCAATAACCTTCCATGATAGAAAGGACGAAAATAAAGCTTCAGATCAAGATTATATTTCCACCATAAACAGAAAGCTTTGTTGATAAGCAGTTGCAACTCTACAAGAACTTCCTTCTACTCTTAGATATTAATCATGGCATACCATGATGCATGGACACAGTGTTGGACATGGAATATACACTAAAGATTCAAGTGTCCAATCTCAGAGTCATTACAGAGAAAAAGGAAACTCCATTTTCTCATTAACATAACTTAAACATTCTGTTTAGGAAGAACCCCTTTGCCATGGTATCTATGTATTGTGCAATTGATTCAAAGAACACTCAAACCTTGTAATGAAGCTCTAAAGAAAAGATTGACTATAAGCATTTTGTAAATTCCATCAAAGAGACGCAGCCTGTAATGAAGCTAGTGATGCTTAGTGCCAACTGATTTTTAATGTCAATCCAACTTCTTATGTCTTTTTTTTATCAATAACCACAGAATTCATTAATAATGGAAAAAAGTTACAGGGAAGAGGAGCTAAAAATTCTTAACTCCCCAGAAAAGAAATACATCTGACTTAAACACACAGAAACTTACAACTGAGCCCAGAACCCAAAATTCCTAAAAACTCCTTGCCTAGCTAATCCATCAGCAAAAGAATTAGCATTTCTTTTAACCCAAGTACATTGGACTTCCATATCCTTAATCAGCCATTTGAATTTTCTTTTCTCATTGCTGTAGCTCCACATCTTGGAAGTGTCTTCTTTTAACCAATCCACAACAACCGCGGAATCTCCTTCTATAATCAGTTTCTTAGCATTAATTTCTTTGGCCCTTTGGACCCCTTCCAACGCTGCTAACACATCAGCCCTCAAGGAGTCTCCCACTCCAATTGGGCTAGAGAACAAAGCTATTACATGACCGCTCTCATCTCTTAGAACCCCCCCCCCCCCCAATACCCAAAGGCCCTGGATTCCCCACGCTACTGCCATCAAAATTTAGTTTGATAAAACCAGGAGGTGGAGAGTTCCAATTGAGATTCAGAGCCTTCTTCCTTGAGACTGAGCTAGCAACTTCTTTCCACTTTCTTAGCAAATCATTTGTTGAAAAATATGTGAACTCATTCATTGTTTTCAGCCAATGTATTACCCTTATATGAATCAACTCTACCATATTTTCCAAGCCTCTCTCCTTTTCCAAGAAGATCCTTGCATTTCTTTCCTCCCATAATGTCCAACAAACAACAGCTCTCATGCATCTCCACATAATTCTTGATCTTTTTGTTGAGAATTCAATAGAGGAAGAGGAAAATAAGCTTTGCAGACTAGTTGGAGATGTCCACCTGCACCCAAATAAAGAAGCAAAGCAATCCCAAATATTTTTTGCCAAAACACAAGATATTAATAAGTGGTACCCAAACTCACCAGCAGCTTTGCATAAAACACACCAATGTGGAGATAAACAGCTATTGGGTCTTTTTCTTTGAAGTAGATCACATGTGTTAATTCTTTCAAGGAAAACTTACCAACAGAATCTCCCAACCCTCGGAGGTATAGGTTTACACCACACTTCCTTGACAGGGAATGACAATCCAATAGGAATTTCTGGTTGTATCAGGGCTTTAAAGAAGGAGGCACAAGTAAAGGATCTAGAGGGAGACAGAGTCCAAATCCTACTATCTGTCCTTGTAGGCTCCAAAAAAATCCCATCAAGAATGGATAAAAGAGTTAATATTATCCAGTTCTGTGTCCCTAAGTGCTCTTCTCAAACCCAAGTTCCATGCAAACCCGGAATTTAAATTTGAGGAAACGAAGAAATTGGTAATTGGTTCATTTTTTAGGGTGGAGATTGCAAACAAAGCCGGAAATTGGTCTTTCAAAGGGGTCTCCCCAACCCAAACATGTTCCCAGAACTTTATGAGATTACCTGAGTTTAAATCATACCTGATCCAAGGAGAAAAAAGAGGCAAAATATCTTGGATGGATTTCCATGGTGATGCTCTTGTAGCCATAGCCAGAATCCCAGAGTCCCAACCATTCTCTACAAGCCCGTGAATACTACAAATTATCTTAGTCCACAGTTTCTCCCTCTCCAATGAAAACCTCCACAGCCATTTCCCTAGCAAAGCCAAATTCCTCTTCCTTATATTCCCAATGCCTAGCCCTCCATCCTACTTACTCCTACACACTATCTCCAATCTAACCCTATGATCCTTTTTTTCCTCCCCTGGCTCCCACAGGAAGTCCCTCATTAATTTTTCCAACTTGCTAGCCACCCCTGCAAGCACCTTAAAGGCTGAAAGGTAATAAATGGGTAGATTAGCTAGGGTAGACCTGATTAAGGTGATTCTTCCTCCAAGAGATATGTAGTTTTTCTTCCAAGAAGCAAGTCTCTTTTCAAACCTCTCCACTATTGGAATCCAAAAACTTCCTTTTTGAGGATTATCTCCTAGAGGAAGACCAAGATAAATCAAAGGCCAACTCGATTTTCCACACCCCAAAATATTTGCACACTCAAGGATCTCACTTTCCCCCATATTCACACCTACAACACAACTTTTATCAAAATTAACTTTCAGGTTCGACATTTGCTCAAATAGTTGTAATGTAAGTTTCACATTCCTAATCCAATTCATGTCCCCCCACCCAACTACAAGTGTGTGAGTGGTATACTCTCCCTGCCAACTCTCCATCCCTTGATTGGCCCCCTAGAATCTACCTTAGAGATTAGTCTCCCTAATACTTCAGCAACCAAGGTGAACAAAAAAGGAGAAAGGGGGTCTCCTTGTCTTATTCCCCTCAATGTTGGGAAGAAGTCTACCACCGTTCCATTCACCAAAATAGAGTAGTGGCAAGACCGAATACACCCCAACACCCAGCTGCACCATTTGTCTCCAAACCCAAAAGTAGTCGTCACCTCCAGCAAAAAGGACCAGTCTACCAAGTCATAAGCTTTTTCCAAATCTAGCTTACAGACCACACCCTTCTTCCTAGATCTCTTAAAGTCCTCCACACTCTCATTTTCTATAAGAATTTGATCAGTTATTTGCTTGCCCCTCACAAAAGCTCCTTGATTATTTGAGATAATGGTATTGAGCACCTGTCTAATCCTAATGGACAAAACCTTCGCAATGATCTTATATAAATTGTTCACTAGATTGATAGGTCTATAATCCCTTGGATGTGTTGCTTCTCTCTTCTGGGGAACCAAAGCAATAAATGTGGAATTCAACCCCGAGTTAATCACTCCTTTTTTGTGGAACTCTTCAAAGACCATCATTAACTCTTCTCTCAAAACCTCCCAACAATCCTGGTATGCCATCGTAAAATCATCTGGGCCTGGAGCCTTTGATCTATCCATGAAGAATAATGCCTCCTCCACCTCAAATTTTCTCTCCAACCACTCCCTATCTTCTGATCTTAATCGTGGCCATTCCATCCCCCCAATCCATACCCTATTACTTAAGGGTTTTCCATATGTTGACCTAAAGTCGTTTGCAAACTCCCTAGCAATCTCCCCCTGATTAGATAAGGTTATCCCCTCCATTTCCAAACTTCAGATAAAATTTTTCCTTCTTCTCCCACTTGTCAAACAATGAAAAAATTTTGTATTCCTATCCCTATCTTCTAATCTTAATCTTGGCCATTCCACCCCCTCAATCCATACCCTATTACTTAAGGGTTTTCTATATATCGACCTAAAGTGGTTTGCAAACTCCCTAGCAATCTCCCCCAGATTAGATAAGGTTATCCCCTCCATTTCCAAACTTGAGATAAAATTTTTTCTTCTTCTCCCACTTGCTAAACAATGAAAGAATTTTGTATTCCTATCCCCCTCCTTCAACCACTTACACCTTGACTTTTGTTTCCAACTGATTTCCTCCTTAAACAATTCATCATCTAGTTGTTTCCGCAATTTCCACCTTTGTTCTTTATCCTCCTGTGTAATATCTCCCCTCCCCTCCTTCACATCCAACTCTTCCAATTGAACAATCACGGTTTGCTTTCTTTCTTCCAACCTCCCAAATTCTAAGTTGTTCCATTCCTTGATTTTACCCTTCAAGAATTGTAATTTCTTATGGAACCTCATTCCCTTCCATTCCACTGAAGGGTCACTCTCTAACCACCAATCCTTGATTTTATTAATAAAACCCGAGTGAAGTAGCCACATGTTCTCGAATCTGAACGGGGCAGGCCCTGTGTTTCCCATCTCTTCCTCACCAATCATGTTAGGCCAATGGTCTGAAGTTACTCTTGGAAGTGCTCTAGAGGTCAAGCTACCCCAATGTTCCTCCCAATCCACCGAAAAGAGAAACCTGTCCAACTTAGAGCAAATGGAATTCACTTGTAAATTGGACCAAGTATAGCTACTGCAGGCCGACGAAATCTCTTTGAGTTCAAAGCCTTCCGCAAATTGATTAAACTTCCTCATGCTCGTGGTCACTCTCTGTCTAGGACAGTTTGTTTCTTCCGAAAACCTAATTACATTGAAATCGCCTCCTAAACACCAAGGTCCTCTCCGCAATCCCCTTATATCCCCCAATTCTTCCCATAGGTTCTTCCTCTCTCTATAATCATTAGGTCCATAAAAATTTGTTAACACCCATTCAAAGCCATCCTCCACCTGCTTAAATTTTGACGAAACTGAAAATTGGCCTATTAATTCCTCCATTGCTATGCACACCTCATTCTTCCATAGAGTTATTAATCCCCCTGCAGACCCCCACAAAGGTGTGGTAGCCCAACTAACCCCTCTCCAAATACTCCTAGCCCACCTAGCATCAAAGTCTGCTCTCTTAGACTCCTGAAGCATAATTATATCTGGGTTTACCTTTTTA